GTACAGTGAATCGGCGATTCACTGTACGGAATCGTCCGGTTCTCTCCAGAACCGGACGATTTCCGATTTTTGGGCGATCCGGTTCCTTTTTCACTATTTCCGAGTCGAACCGGGCGAGTCCGGTTCGACTCGGCGTTTTTTAAAACGCTGGTCCCAAGTAAACATTCATGCAAAACTGAACTCCTCAAAGCTAGAACTTCTACTTAATTTTTTTTGATAGATGAGTGGGGATTAGAGGCTCTACCCGTTTTCGAAAGAGTCAAATTTTTGAAAGTGTTAGTGAGAATGGAAGTAATGACCTTAAACTAAGACTTAGGTGGTACTATCACCACGACCCCGGCACCATTCTCAATACTTTTACTTAATTAGTAGTATGCTATCCTAAGATTAGTGACTAATTTCAATTGTGGGAAGCAAAAGACTGAACAAGTGGAGTTAAATTTCAGAAATTTAAAGTTGCAAAGAAATTTTGGGAGTTTGTTGTGCACAAAATATGCTTTGGGAACTTCAAGCCCATGTACAAGTGGAAGGTCCTTATTGTTGCAATCTTGATGAGGTCGTGAACTCCACTTGAGTTATTTCGCTCACATAATTATGTTTAATTTTTTGAAGACCTCTATTTTAAAGGGATTACGTGATGTTTGAAGATCCGACTGATGAAGTCTCAACGTATACTAACTTTGGGTTATGATTCTATGCTGCTACCGACCACCGAATTGGAAGAGTTTCCTCTGGTTGGCACCTTCGTATTGCTAAACTTCTGGTTTCGTCCTGGAATATAAATCACATATAAAGAGCAGCAAACACTACAAATCTGGTGGCCAGTGAACTTCGCTAAACATTGGGCTATGGCATCAGCAGGTATGATTTGGAGAGTGGATCCACCAGATTTTATCTTGCCATTTTTGCTCGCTGATATATTAAAGTAAGAAATATAGAATGGCATGAGTTTGAAATTGGATCCACCATATTTTATCTCACCATTTTTGCTCGTTGATGTATATAAACCAATCATTCAAGAGAAAGATTCACTAAAGCTTTGTCAATTAGTCCCTCCACTATGATTTATGAGATGCTCGACTTTCTCAATCTTCAGAATACTAGAAATTAGCTAGAAATGAATGAAAACATTAACAACTAGATTCATATCGGTATTATGATTGCATAGTCACAAAGACAAAAAAAAAAAGAGCTCTTAGGTAATGTGCAGGTCTCGTATCCTTTTAGATCATCGTTATAACTTTTTCTCAAGTATTTGGAGTCAGATGTCTTGTGTCCTCCAAATGGAGCCTCAAACTGTAAACTCTATTCCACGTCTCATCCAAAAATATGATACATACATATGTTATCACCTACTGTATTTGCTTATGATATCCATGAATATCCCACATGCGACAACCACTTCATTCCCTTTTTTATCCGGGCAGCTTAGAAATTTAGCATTGATATATGGGAAAATTATTCAGACATCTTACTTATCAATTGTTAGTATTTTACCTTTTTCTAATTATTCTAACTCGTGATCATGTGTGTTTTTGGCGGGAATTTTTTAAATTAAATCAAAAGATAGGGTAAAATGTTAAATAGTTCATTATTTTGTGAATTTCAAATAATTTCCAAAATAAGCTAGAGCCCATAATCTACCTTACGTATATCTTTTTTTTTTTTGGTTGGGTGCATCAATGGGGATTTTGGGCCCTAGCCTTTGGTGAGAATGAAGTAATTCATGGGGCTTGGTGGTACTATGAAACCTCATCCATACCATCTCATTCTCACCTCATCCATAGCGTGTACACACACAAATATTGTTGAGTGAATTTTAGAGTACTTCATTAATGGCTCATCACCATCCAAAGTCCAGTATAGAGTGATAGTTGACTCTTAATAATTTTTCAAAAATCAAATTCATCTGAGATTCGGGAGTTATATAAATCTAAGCAAATTGAACAGAAATAAAATATTTAAAAATTAAAAAAAATAAAATGATAAAAAAACCTTTGAAATACCCACTAAGGATTTGGTAATTGGTATTATTTGAGTTATTGTATTATATTTTATTTAGATGCACCTCACTAAAGATCACGTACCCACAAAATTTGATATTAATCAGATTTGTAAAATAATAAATAAAATTAAACTACTATCAGACAACCATGATCGCTTGATGAACATTAGACAATGAGGAGCCATTCACTCGTGAGTGTTTAGTAAAGGTATTTTTGTATAAGATTGCAATCTTAAACAATCAAATTAAGGTGCACTCCTAAACATGGTCATGTGATGCAATTTTGCAGTAAAATAATTCTTTCGATGGTGTGAGAATCAATTTTTATCTCTAGCTATAAAAATAATTCAAATCAAATAGATCAATAAATGTATGAAAATCTTAAAAATGGACGGTCCAAATAATGTGTTGCAAGATGTACTAGTTTTAAGACTTGAAATCTCTTTTTTTCTACATATCTACAATTTTTAACGTTGAGATGAGCAATTATATGTTTTTCCAACATCGTGATAACCTGTTTCGACAGATTTTTTGAGATGCACCTTAATTCTACATTGTGTTAACCTTATGTAAACCTTTTCCATACGTATATAGGGAGAATCAGAGGTCAGCCCCCGAGCTGATAGCTATAATGGCCCATATTGAATCCGGGCCGATCTAATGATCATCACTGAATTTCGTATTTGAATTTTAAATTTTTTTTTACAAATCTAAATCAATTAAATTTGGAGTATCTATTCTTAAAAAATGAGTTAATCTAATCAAAATATCAAAAACATAATTAACAAAGATTAAATAGACTAAATACCTTTGAAAACTTTCAACGGTATTTTGGTCTATTTAATCTCTGTGGATTATTTTTTAAATATTTTTATTAGATGCAAATTGATGAGAAACATGGACGTCCCAAATGTTATATAATTTTTATTTATAAAAAATATTAAAATTTAAATATGAAATGCAATAGTGGCTATCAGAGCAGCTCAAATTTACTCTGGGCCGTTGTTCTAACAGTATTCCATCAGCGGCTCATAACATATTTTTTATTTTAATAATATAGTATATATATTTCTAATGTCTCTAGAATTAGGACATTCTCGCCACATGTGTTTCAAGTTTTTAGAAAGTTTTTCTTCAAATAAATTCCCCTCTCTTTTTTTGGGTAAGTAATAAAGTCGTATCTCTCTAGATATCTATCCCTCTTTCTCTCTCTAGATATCTATCTGTGCAGGTATTAAGGGGTTATTTCTTTCTCTCTCCACGTCTCTCCATTTCACATTTCTCGCCCCATGCATTATCCCGCGTTTTGTGTTTCCAAATAATAAAATAAAGATAAGTTTCATTAATAAATGGCCTCAAATTACAATTTGGAGGGGGCCGTGAGATCTCCTTGTCTTGGTAAGAATTCTCCGAAGTTATTGTTTGATGATTCTATGATTTTTTTAGTTCATTAATTCTTCCTATTTGTGATTTATTTCTTATAATTTGATTGCAAAATTTGGATTGCCTGCTATTTCATCTACTCAAGTCACTTTTTCTGTAATAGACTATCGAGACTATGCATATTGATGAGGGTCATTGTTGCTTGTTTGTTGAACTACATCTTTTAATTTGTGATTTTAGTTATTTGTGTTTTTGGGTTTCGTTTCTAGTTTTCTCCACATGTCGGTTTTGGCTTAATTGATGACTTGTTCTATTGTGGAGGCCATTGTTGTTCGTTCTATGCCCCTGCATCTTCAAATTTGCAATTTCTGTTATTTTTAGTTTTCGTTCCCTAAACCCTAAACCCTAAAGATTAATTGGTCTTCGCTTTGATTATGGCTCTGTGTGAAAACCTATGAAATTTAAGATTGGTGCGTTTCTTAGTTTTCACTTCTCATTGTTTTGTTTCAGTAAGGGAGTCCTGCAATTATAATTGGGACAGGTGTTCTATTGTTTTGATACTCAATTTATTGGCATTACACCAGTGGAATAATTTCTTCTATTTTTCTGGCAATGGGTTTGGCTTGATTGGGAAAGGGGGCTAACATTTGGGAACTTATGGCAAGTAGAGGTGCTTCACTTTGTGCTTACCAATTTGATCTGTTATGTGTTCTTTGATTTCTGTTTGGGATTGAGTTTTTAGGAAAACGAGATATTCCTTCATACCTGAGTGGGGTGTAGAATTCACATCAATCCAATTTGGATGTCCTTAGTTTCAATTTTTTGGAATTTGATTATAAAAAGACATTTGTCCCAAGTTCCTAAAGACTGTAATTTATCTGTCTCTCTAGGGCACCGAAAATCAAAAGAAGCTCCTTATGGTTTTATGCAAATTGGTGGAAATATTAAGAGCTAGTTGAGTGGATGGTCCTTCATAAAAGGACAGTTTCTTCGTGGTTTCTTAGTTGTTTGAATGTTTTCTCTCTCTATCTATAACTATATTGTTGCTCTATCTATGTGGTTGACTGTTATATGTTTAAATGATCATATTCTCTCTCAGTTAACCTTCTCCTTAAAAAAAAGGAAAAAAAAAAAAAGGATCATGTTCCCTCTTTCTCTAAAGTTTGAATGTGTAAGCACATTAGCAAGTGGAATTGTTGCCTTTGGCCATGTGAAACATAATTATATTATTCAAATAATATTTTTTTTCATTTTCTTCCTTTTTTTTTTTAACGAGGTAATTGAAGGGGGTATAGGGGTTCTGCAGGTCAAATGGATTCATTATGGCCTTCTACAAAGGCTGTTCTGGCTCATGCTCATCGACCTCTAATCAAGGATAGAAAGAGGGGAATAATAGATGCTAGAGGAATGGTTCCCAATGATGAAAGAAAAGAGAGGAGGATACCTTTTGAGGGATGTATCTTCTTGCCATCCCAATATGAGAGCACCAAAATTTGATGATTCTTTATCATGGAGAAACAGAAAGGTGCCAAATATGTCCATTGAAGATACAAAGCTTGCCTCAGCAGCTAACAAGCATGATGGTGCTAGTTTGGTTAGGAATCAAGTATGTAGCACAAACCAGTGGCCTGCTAAGGTATTGCAGCAATGTATGAAAGGGAAGCATGAAGAGGCAGAAAGGCTTTTGGTATGTTATACTTGTCACTTTATCAGCTACTTTCTTGATTCTGTATACTGTTTATTTGATGGTTTTAAGGTTATGTTTGTGCACACTGATGGTTTTACAGATTCATACATTTTTATGATTGTATGTACCTTCATCATCCATAGCTTTACAATTATATCTATACTATCCTTTTTTAAGCAACTATATATAACCTAAGAACCCCTTTTTTGTATTTTGTTTCAGAAAGAATCGAAGACCACCCTTGCCGCATTGAATCCAGAGCACAATGCTGTCATGCAGGGTAATTCCACTAGGTAAATACGGCATTTTTAAATCACCTTTGTTTCGCATTAGAAATGTTGAATGCTTCTTATGATGAATTTTCATTGGTCATGATTTTGTCTCAGTACAAAAATTGTTATGAGAAAAATACTGTACATTTTCATAAATTGTACACTGTATATCTCTTTGCTGAATTTTCCTTGTACATTCTTATAGACATAGTTCTGGGGAATTTTATGCTCGAAAGAAAAGGGAGGAGGACGCCAACATGCATCTTGGCCAAGAGAATAGTTCAGCATAAACAATACACAGCATAGGAAGAGGCAGATGATGAGTTTGATTTTGATAAAGCGCCAAGAAAGAAGCAAAAGCAAAAAGGAAAATCTGCATTAAAGCAAAAAATAACAGAGAATACCACTTTCCAGCAGCGATTAGTGACCCAACAAGAGCGCTGCCACTTCTACTTTGAGATTCCCAATAGACCAAAACATCTTGTCTTATTCATTGCTAATTTCACATACTTGATGCTACCACAATAGTAACCTGTTGTTCAAGGACATTGTTGTATTTTGCCAATGCAGGTAAGTTGGTCATGTTTATCTCTCAAGGGATGTGCACCATAATCCATCAGACTATGATAAAGTCTTCGACCAATGGTTATCTATCTTTGTCCATAGAATGATGAGTGGTCTTGGAGAGATATTGGGATTCACCACTTGGTTATGTCTTGTTTGGTGGGTCTCACTGTCTTCATCACTATCCATCATGTACTTGGATGATGATGATCTTATGAACAACTGTTTTGGTTCACAGGGGAACGTGTTTGTGAATCAGAGGAAATTGCGGTCTCTCTCTCTCTATCATTGTTGTAATTGGTGAGTGACTGCCGATGTGTTTCACTGTTTGCGTTCCAATGACCATGGAAAATGGTGAAATCATGGGAGACCAAGATCAATCAACTCTCTATCTCTCTACGTTTCATTGACCATGGAACCCATGTGAAATCATGGGAGACTAGGACCTGTTAATAAACTCTCTCTATCTGTAAAATCTAAATTGCCTTTCAGCCAAAAACGTAAAGGAATGTTTTGAGAAGGGATGGAAGTTAACGGAGAGAGGGAGAGAGAGATAGGGAATGGAAGTTAATGGGGAACGTGAAATACACGGAGAGAGTGAAAAACACAAAGAGAGAGATAAAGGGTTAGGTCCATGGAAATTCGGAAGAGAGAGAAATTGGGGAAATATATGGGGGAGAGAGGATGGTGTTTAAAAAGCATCGTCTTTTTCCAATTTGTTTGGGGAAAAAGAATAATATTAAAAATGGTAAAGTTAGTTTAGAGATTAGAAAATATAAAATCGAGGATTTCAATATTCTTTTGAAACATTAAGTCTATAGAGATATGAATAGAAGGTATAGAGATATTTTAAAAAAAATGAATGTTGTGCTTTCACAAACCTCTTTTTTTTTTTTTCCCTTTCCTTCTCTTTAACTCTCAAGCCCTCAAGTTATTTCATCGAATTTGCATCTTCTCTCTCTATTACCCTCTTCCCCTAACCCATGTCCTACGCCCTCTTCTTCTCTTCAAAGTTTCCGATTCTTTTCTCTCTCCTTAATTTATGTGTCTTTTAGGGTGTGTTTGTTATCTTTTAGAAAAGTTGAATGTTTTTAAATCTTTTAGAAAGTTGAATGTTTTGTTCTAGAAAGTTTAAATAAATTATGGACATTGTTTTTTATAACCAATTGAAATGTTAAGAAAATTTTGTGTACTATGTTTTATAT